TGCACTCACAAAATTGGTTGGTAAATTCAACGAGTGGGTGCATCGACCTGGTATATCAAGTTTCTGCAATTTTTTACGGCAAATCAGTAGATTTTCGGGATGTAGATTGCTTACTTTCAATTCATGAATGAATAAAGCAACGACATGGTTGAACTTCTTTGCATGGAAAGACGTTTAAAATAACAAAATCAAGACGTATTTAATGCAATTGCATTTATATCGAGTCAATTTCTTTTCAATAATATAACGGGATTTTTACTACCGGTGATTTGGGTATTTTAGCCCCAAAATACCTTTAAATCGACTTTATCTTCTAGGAGTTCGACAGAATTTTTCCTTTCTTCGCTTAAATTATTCCGTAGCACTTTTCTTCAAGAATCTGATAAGATTTTGCTTGAGGCAGATCAAAAAACTTAAATTCGATCGAATAGCTTTCTACTTTCACAATACACGGTCTCGTCAAGGTGCGTCTTTGACCTCGCAGTGTTGGATCGTGAATTCTCTTTTTATGCTGTTTGCCTATTTTGAAATCTCTGTAAATGAAAACTAAAGGGGTTGATATGTGCGAGTTAATGACGCGCCTTATCAACACATTGTGTTGGAGTTCACTGCTTGTTTTTTTTTTATACCTACATTTAAAAAAAATTGCAAAATTTGCCACCATGGGCCGTGGGGCCGTGGGTGGCCCATGTGGCCACCTCTAAAACTGGCTCTGGTGCTTAATATTTTCAGTTTTCTTTAAAATAGAGACGGAGACGACATGGTTTGCATAGAAATTTCAACCGAAAATTACATTCAAAGATGACAAATTTTTGGATATATTTTTAAAAAATCTGACAGTAACAGCTAGCCGGTATATATTCAGACTCTACCAATGTAAGATCATGTAATTTTTCGAAATATTTTTATGCACTGCCTTCATTTTCTGCTTGTGATATACTGAGATGGTTCTATTTTCAAATTTTATGGAACGAATGTGAAATTTGTGCAATACTTTTGAAGTCATCCGAAATTTGTTCATGCTAATTGTTAATACTCCTAAGGTCATGCTGCACTGTCTTCCCCCCTCCCCCGAGTGCTTCTTTTGCCTGCCAGAATTTTGTTCTATTCATCAATCATGTTTTTCAACATTCACAGATGAGTAAGAGGATAGCTTCCCCATTGACAGCAGCAACATTCGTTCGGAAAATGTCCTCCGCACTCTTCGAGCATCCCGAAAAAACTTCATACGTGAACGGAGCATGGGTGCCTGCAAGTTCGGGTAAATTATTTGAGTGCTTAAATCCAGCCAACGGAAAATCTATCGGTTCTGTTCCCGATATGGACTCCAAAGACACCGAGGTTGCCCTAACGGCGGCTGCAGAAGCATTTAAGACATGGCAGAAAACGACCGCGAAGGTACGTTTTACATACATAATTGGTAAAACTAAATCAACCACCGCCGCTCGCTCTTTGCTTCTTTTTTTCTATCATGCTTTATTTTACTTATATCATTTTTAATTTCTTTTATTTCATTTTCTTTTGTTCTCTATTTAACATTACTCATCTTACATAATGACTTCTTACTCGCTAAATCCGTGAAGTTAATAATTGTGAGTTGTCAAAATTGTGCTTACTGATAGTGCATGAGCCACCCGAAATGACTGTATAAGAAACATCGCAACGTAAATAATACTGCACAATATATAATCATCAGCCTGTCATATTAATTACTTATAATATGGTATCATTTACGGAAAATGTCAATTAAATTTACAAAACAGGGTCTCAAAACAAAGCGTCATGTCATGCTATAGCTTCAGATGCACCGAAAAAAAAGTGAAGTTGATTTAACATTCTGGGTGTAAAAAAAAGTGTGCGAGAACCAACAAAATGCTGAATTAACTGCTACAGCAGTTATTTTAGCAGTGTCATGATGTAAAACTAACTGTCGTGGCGAATAATTCAGCATTCCGCGAGTTATCGCACACTTTTTTTACATACAGAATGTTAAATCAACTTCATTTTTTTTTAAAGTGTGCATCAAACAATACATCGTCACCTTCCAGGCAAAGTATCACAAGCGCCATGCGACGTTTAAAAATTTCCGCCGCCATTTTATTTCTTTACTGAGAAATTGTTGGTTTAATCTGTTTGGAAATTTCACTAAATTTTATCGGCAGCACAAAGAAAATTCAGTGAAATTTTCGGACAGCTTCGTTGAACAATTTCTCTGTAAAAAAATAAAATGGCGGCGGAAATTTTTAAACGTCGCATGGCGCTTGTGATACTTTGCCTGGAAGGTGACGACATCCTTAAAGAGAGTACCTTTTTCGATGAAACCCGGGGGCCCCTATCTAACAAAAGTTCAAAACAGTACGTGGCGTAATTTTTAACATTTTCAAACTCTTAGGAGTACAGCCACTATCTCGTTTTTTGGCATTTTTTTTGTATTTTTTGTAGTTTTGTATTTTCGTTATGCATTTAATAAACTTTTAAACCTTTACGATTTACACATCATCACTTTCATTTTCATTCAAATGTGTTGGACCTAATTTTTCTCTCGTTAATCGTTTTATCTTTTCTCAGGAGAGGGGAATCTTACTCAGGAAATGGTTCGATATTTTAGAGCAAAAGAAAGATACCCTGGCTAAAATAATCACACTAGAGGCAGGCAAACCAACGGCTGAATCTCTTGGAGAGGTTGCATACGGAAATGCATTTGTAGATTGGTTTTCGGAAGAAGCTAGAAGAATAAACGTAAGGCTACCTCTTACATTTTTCATGTTTGCCACTGATTGAAGCGAAAAACACATAGAGCAATTGGCCAACCCGGCGTATAGTAAGGATGTGATCTGGGGTGTGCCAACAAGAGGGGGAGATAATTAACATTTTGACAAAGAAAGTAATTAGGGATAAACTTCTTACATTAGTGGTGGCTAATTCAAGAAAAAAATAGAGGCAGCCTCAGAAATACTTACCTCGAAAAATATGTTTTGAGCCGTTTATAATAGCACACCACGTGGTTTTCAAGAAAATCAGAGATGAAATAACCCATGAATGCACAAGTACTTTAATATTTACCTTCTGCAATGGGGCAGCACAGATAAGAAAAAATTGTTGCATGCTCTTTCAATTGCTCTCATGGGATACATGGTTAAAAAGAGAACCAATATTTAATTGAAATGCTGATATTTGCATGCTTTCTGAATAATTTTATTTTGTTTAGGGTGAAGTTATTCCGAGTCCAGTCAAAGAAAAGCAGATGATTTTGGTAAAACAACCAATCGGAGTTGTATCTTTAATCACTCCCGTAAGTGTAATTTTATCACATATTATATTAAATTAGAAAGCAAAAAAAATGCTGTAAGCACAATTTTCAAACAATCACATTTTAAAATTGAAATTACCAATCACCAGAAAAATGTTCCGCATGTAGAATGAGTTTCGGCCGAACTGTCCGCGTTCGCTTTCATCAGTGAGTGGACGTACTTAAGTACAGAAGACTTGCGCACAAGACTTGCACTTTTTGTTCATTCATAAATAATTTAAATTATTCATCAGATATTTGCAGTTCTACGTATATAAATAGCATTGAAATTGAGGTTTTCACCACTACAATGTTTCAAAAGACATCCCTTTGTACTCGGCGTTTGCAATCCATCATCGCATGGACAAAAAATGGGGGGGGGCAGAGTACTTGACCACCCTCGCTCAGAAATCCACACAGCCCCACCCAAGAAATGTGACAGATCTTTATAAACAAATTCGTGACTTTATCTACTATCTTTGGAACTATAATTAGATAAACTCTTCGGTGCATGGGAACAACTCAAAATTGCTTCTGAGTAGACTAAATATTTCAAAGATTTCAAGGGAAATCCTCTGAATTCCCCTTTGAAGCATAGTAAATCCATCGATCTTCTCTTTGGAGTTAGGAGAGTTCCGCAAATCTTCCTCAGTGGGGTTTTTTTTGTGCCACTCCCCGCCCAGACCATTTTAATGAGGTGCCCTTCTGCCCCCCCCCCCCACGAAATGTTCCTGGTTCCTCCCATGATCGTGAGTGTTTAATTATTATCTGTTGTAGTAGTACCACAAAGTCTTACACCTTAGTTTTCCCTCATTTATAATGACTTCAAGTGCTCATGAAGTTTTGATGTTTTACCCTATTCACAAATCTACATACCAAGTTAAAATTTCTCTTCGTGCCTTTAAGCACCTACAATCAATAATGTTTTTGGCCGTAAATTTAAATAGATATGAAAGTCGTTATTGGAGCGTTAAAATAATCTGGACCAAAAAAGAGATAAGCATCTATATCCAGTTGTCATAGTAATACCGAATGAAACAGAGTAGGGTTGATTCAACAAAACTTTTGTCGTAAATTTAGTAATGAGAGAAGGAAAATTTTTCAGTGGAATTTCCCTTACGCGATGATAACCCGGAAAGCAGGTGCCGCTCTTGCCGCCGGTTGCACTTGCGTCATCAAACCTGCTGAAGACACCCCTTTCACTGCACTGGCTTTGGCTAACTACGCTCATCAAGCAGGTAAAATAGCTCTCGTGTTCAAAGTTTGTAATGCACATTTGGTGACATATCAAGTAGCAGTGGCGAGCTCGACGCAATATGTATGACGTGCTTGAATTATTCTTACCTTTTACAAAAAAAAAGAAGAAGAAGAAGAAGAAAGGTGAAAGTGATTATAACTGCAGAAGTATGTCTCTCATTCGCGCCTAGTTATTTTCCTCGGGAATGGAGTTCTTTCATTCACTGCATAAGTTATGTAGTTCAAAAAAATCATTTGAAAAATGATGCTGAAATAATTTTTACCAGGATACAATACACTATGATGTCTAATCGTGTTGAGAACTGAGACCACTTTGTTCTGAAAAAAAAACCAAGCCAACAATATATAATATAATGTAATGATTTTCTAATACGTAAATCAGGACGATAATGAGTGAGGAGAACTCATTTTCAGTCCAAAAAAAACTGTGGAAGACTCATTTTTAGAATTTTAGTTTTGAAATTCTCATCAGTTTTATGAAACCGGATTTTTGTCATCTAGATAAGCCTCATTTAGCTTATTCATTTTGCGTCAGGTATTCCTAAGGGCGTTCTAAACGTAGTCACGTGTAACAGATCAAACGCACCTCAGATTGGAAGGACATTAGCAACCAGTCCCGTCGTGGCAGGACTTTCATTCACAGGTAATCATAGATTTCCCCATCACTTTTTGCTTTCTATCATATACGACTTTCTGTGGGTAGAATTAAAGCGATGTATTGTACACATTGGATAAAAGTAGTAAAAATTTACAACAGCAACGCTCACGCTGTTACATTGCGGAAACCTAATACGCGAATCCAATTTAGTCGATAAAACAATAAATGATCCCATTATATCGAGAAAAATGTCCTGTTCAATCGAGACGGATTCATGTTAATTAAGACGCGACAGGCGCGCATTTGTTCGTTGAGCCAATCCTGAAACCTCCTTATTTCGGACAATATTCCAATCAATTCTAAAAGATACCCTGTCATTTAAAAAAAACTACAAATTATTATTGGATCAAACGTCAATTCCTGTCCCGACTCATTCAACAGGAATATTTTTCTCAGTGTACATAATTATTATTTACGACAATACTTTAAATTTAATAAACCTAACTAAGTTATCACTCTCTCTCTCTTCTTCCCCTTCTCTCTCCATCTTCCCTTTCCTCTCATCCCCCTCTCACCGTAGATTCGGACTTGAACCATCGGTACATCGTAAATAAGAGATCATAGAATGATACAACTATTCAAGCTTCCGTGTATTGCGCAGTATCATTCTCAATTGAAGGAGTTTTTTCTTTCCTAGAGTCAGGCTTTCCTTCTGACCTCAGAGTAGAATCAAATAAGTTTTGCTCTTGGAGCCATCGTTTTGTAAAAAAGTGACTTTAGTTATTTCAAGACTTCAGGATGTTTTCTGAAGTCCTCATACTCTTGGAAAGTCGATTTTAATAGTGGTCAATCTTCTTTTTCAACAGAAAATAATTTTTGGCCTCTTTTATCGCTGGAAGTTAAGTTTTTTTGTCCGTACCGTAGACCAATTAAACAGGCTTGTTTTTCTATCAATACGTGCGATAATAATACCGTTTTAAGTTTTTTTGCACTCAATGAGATATATTCTTGTAGAAGAATAAAAAAAAATTTCCTTCAAAGTTTTTACTTCCAAAATTTAGCACCCAAATTGCTCTAAAGTCCGATTTATAGAATTTTGCGCCATCATTTTTCTCCCATAAAAACCGGGAAATGTAATTATACGATTAATTTTAATTAATTTCTTTAGAACTAACTTAGAAGATGTGGTAGACAACTTTTTTAAAGAATTTCTACAGGTTTGCTCTTTTTAAAGCTACAAATTGTACAATTTTTTACTGGTCTACGGTACAGGACAATAACGTTACGGTACGGACAAACGGGCTGCGGTAAGGACGAAGAGGCATTCGTAAATATTACTATATGCAAGGGCCGAATTATAAAGAACTGAAATTCATTGGGGAATAAACTGCTAAGTTATAGCATAGCTTATAAGTGCCACTTTTATAAATAATTACAGGCAATAAAGGTAAAAAGAGTAAGTAAATCAGTTTTTCAAAAATAATGAACTGCTTTTATTTTAAAGTAAACACATTAAATAATTAGGGACAAATCTTAGAAGCTGAGTTCTTAAAACAAGCTTGACAACGTTAGAACGTTTCAGGTGCACTTTTACAAAATAAGAAAGAAAACAAAAAGGTATTAAATTTATCGAAAATGTGGCCACAAATCACCTTAAATAAATATATTTAAATGACAATAAGAAAAAAATAAGTTAGATATTAACGAATAAATATTAAACGAATAAATTGCTATGAACTTCAGACGAAAAAGAGGACTCAAAGTTCTAAAAGAAAAAATGAAAAAAATAAAAAGATGGCGATCCTCATGCAATCATCGAAAAAAAAGCCTCCTTCTTTTAAGTCGCGTCGTACTAAAAAAAAATACGTCTCTCTTTTTTTTTAAATTCTAAATTTTGGTGATAGATAAAATAAAGTAAAGTGGGATGATCTATCAAACAGCGCACCGATTTTTGGATGACTTTCGCATTTTGTTCGTGCTTACCGTAGACCCGGCCGCATCGCGCGTCAGCTACGGGCTACGGTACCGGACGGCTACGGGCTACGGTACGAACGGCTACGGTGCGGACAAATCGTGTGATTATTGGCAACGGTGCTCGGGCATATTCACGCATGTGGTTGAAATTCTGGATTTGAGGTTAAGATATCAGAGCGTATAAAAAAATACCAAAATTCGAGAGTTTGAAGTGATTTATGCATTAAAAAGGTAGGTATACGGTAAGGACATCCTAGATGGTCGTTAAACCTAGAAACTCACAAAAAACGGCCAAAATTTACTGTTTCATTGCGGTTTTTTTTCCTCTGCTCGACATCAGCGTGTGATAGTCACGATAACACAAAAAAAGTAAACAAAGTTCATAAGTGCTGCACTGTAACGGACGAAATGATGCTGAAAAAAGGGGGCTACGGTACAGGACGCGAATTCCGCAGACAAGGCTGCATGACGCAAAGACGGTCAATATTTTCACTTATTTGGATGAATATAACTGAAAATAATAAGTTAGGTACAAATTGAGTGTGAATTTACAGCAGAAGTGGAAGTATTTAGATGCAAGATGATGGTTATGAAGCGTTAAAGTTGCGCACTTGAGTCGCAGACAGGCTACGGTACAGGACATTTCAGCTGTTTAGGGCCAAAATTCTGATATTGAATGGCAAAAACTGCCTAAAGCGATGTTGGGACCTGATTAAGCGTAAAATTTTGAACAAATTTAAAAAAAAAAAGGTCAGATTTTTCCATTTTGAAGGACTAAAAAGTTGGCAGACATGGTAGAGCAAAACTTATTTGATTCTACTCCTCACTCCTCACTCTTTTCTCACTCTGCTCCCTCTCTTGCTACTACAAGAAGAGCTTCTTGTGCTAAACTGTAGGACTAATTTCAGGATCGACGGAGGTTGGGAAACTTCTGTATGAGCAATGTTCCGCTGGAGTGAAAAGAATCGGATTAGAGTTGGGTGGCAACGCTCCGTTCATCGTTTTTGAAAATGCTGATTTGAATGTTGCCGTTAACGGTGCCATACCCGCAAGATTTAGAAACTGCGGCCAGGTACGACAAGCATAAATTTCCCCAACTTTTATTCTCATTTGCAGAGTGGGGCAAAATTTTTCATCCAGGACATCTGGAAGAAAAGGAGCTTAATCATATGGACGTATTTAAATCAAAAGGAACTAAATCCATTCTAACTTGAGCCCTATCATGAATGTATTCTATTGGATCTTAGGGATCATGTCAGAATGGATGTAGTTCCTTTTTATTTAATTATGTCCATATCATGCATCAGTAACGTCTGGAGAATGCCTACATTTGCATTAAAATACTAAAAAAAAAACCCGATTCCAGGAAATGACAGATTACGATTAGATATCTCTCACTGCGTTAGTTGATCTGCAAAATTTAAAATGCCGTTTCTTCGGTTTGGCCATTTTACACGTTTTTGTTTCAAAAGGTCTGTAAAATACTCTGCTAATTAAAATATACACAATATATCACAATAGAAAAAAAATTGAAAGGAACAATTAACTTTTTGCGTTTTATGGAACTGTTTCTCTTTGTTAGCCTTTAAAAGCATGCATCCACTGGATGAAAATTTGTTTGATTTGGCAGCATACTGAAGTTTGGAGTAATTTTTGTCTTCAATTTTCAGACCTGCATTAGTGCGAATAGGTTTTTAATTCATGAGGCAGTTTTCGACAAATTTGTCGATATGTTTGCTGAAAAGATTAAAAATTTGGTTGTTGGAGACGGATCAAAATCTGAAGTGAATGTGGGACCACTTATCAATAAAGCTCAATTTACAAAGGTAAGATACAAAATAAGAGCACAAGGGTAACAGATCCCCTTTAGAATGGACAGCTTTATTTTAAAAACGAGTGTTTTAACAGCGACTAAATTTTTATTTCAAAATTATAGAACATATTCAAAATATAGGAGAGTTCTAGGGGGATAGTATATTTTTAAAAATGTATTGACTCTACCACTGCAAAGTTAGAAAATCTGTGAGCTTCATGACACGAAATCTCAACAAATAATGACAAAAGTTGTGAGGTTGCCGAATAAGTTTATGACATTTAGGCAATGTTTGATAAATTTGTTTTTAGAAACAATTTTTTTTTATGTGTATTCTACAAAATATTTATTATTCACGGGTAAAATTAATGGCGTCTTAAAATAAACAAATATTTGCCGTGCTGGTTAGGCTGAAGTTTCTGTTTTGTTGAAGTTACAGAAAATATCATGAATTTTAAAAACATCACAATTGACTAGTATAATCTTAATGAGCCAGGCTAAATGGCACACTGGAAGTTGATTTTCTTCAATCTATGTTCAAAAACAGCTTTGCTCGATTGTTTAAAAATAGAAAGAAAAAGTGAAATTACAATTGTCGTGCCGTTAATTTTTAACGGAAGATCAAACAAGACTTCCTTTTCACTGTCTGATCTGGCAACCCGTAATATTATTGGAAACCTCTTCTTTGGTAACGTGTGTCAGGTATTATAGATAAAACAAGAGCAAAGAATGTAGAGTAGATCTTTAATAATATCTGACGAATCTGATCTCATATTTGTTTTTTAGGTCTCCAGAATTTTAACGGATGCGAAAGAGAAAGGAGCTAAGATTTTGTGTGGTGGCAAGCCTGCTCCACAGCATGGAGAACTATTTTTTGAGCCCACCCTCATGACGGGCATCACTCCTGAAATGGCCTGTTATTCAGAGGAAATATTTGGACCCCTTGCTATTTGTATTCCGTGAGTATCAATTCATTCACACAAAAAATAAGTCAATGGTGAGGCGCAACGATGCGTCAATTGCACGAAAAATACGATTCTTACTATGTTTGCTGCACACACACCCATTCAACGTGACGTCATGTTATTTCAGCTGCATATGTATTAACGCTCAAAGTCCTCAAAAATGACCAAACGAGAATAAGCTAATGGCCATTAACTGTAGAAAGCATGTAATTTTAACATCGATACACTAAGATTAGACTTAAAGAAACTGTATTTCTAATGATGGATGGAAGAATCCAGTGACTTTGATAACGACGGACTTACAGAGGAACAAAAATGTTAGTACCACTGGCTGTCGGTCGAGGAATCTCGATAGCAAAATGCTATCTCCAAAAGTTTGGCTAATCATTTATTGCAGTCGCAACGTTTCTACAAAATCCGTGCGTTTAAGTCTCCACTGTATTTTGCATAGCTCGCGTGTAACATACATTAAATTGTACCAATGACGGCAAAAGAGCCGTCTTACTTACTCTTACTAGCCGTACTACTCCGTCTTACTAGTCGTTACATCTGTGCTTTTAAAGGATGCCTGTCATTCTTCATACGGTCAATTTCGTATAATACTGTGCAACACCTCTGTTGTGAAATAGTTGCTTCAGGCGCCGCCGCACAGCGGGCGGGCGGCCCGCGCGAGACGCGCATTGGCGCCTACAAACCTAAGTGGATACTTCACGCATTGCGCAATGCTTGAAGTATCCACTTAGGTTTGTAGGCGCCAGTGAGCCTCTCGCGCTGGCAGCACGCCGCTCCGCTCTGTTAGGCTTTAGTACGGCTTAACTAAGGCTTTAATAACTTTACTAAGGGGCTAGACCCCTCGCCGCTATATGGCCCAACCCTCAAAGGACGCTTCGCGCCTGAAACGATCTGTCAAGCGCTAAAGAAGCTCTCAAAATCGGAATCCACCTCTATACAAGACGACCCAGAGCTACCACGCCAGGCTTCTTCCCCAATCATCATTGGCGGATCCAGCAAATTGGCAACATTGTTTTTCTCCATTTAAACCTGTGGTAATGTATCGACCTGGAGGGGCCAGGTGCTCCGACAAAAATCGATTATTTTTAAATGGAGGGAATCCGGTGTTACCAAATTGCTGGATCCGTCTCTGCATATCATCCCCGCGGTCTGCGACTTCGTTCAGCCTACATTAAGAAAAAAGCCTGGTACGATATAAACCTGGATCACCCTGTATAGAAGTGCACTCTGTTATAACGTAGGGATCCCCTCTGTAACGGATTTAACTTTAAGAGCTTCTTAAAGGTTCAGAGTTCGTTTCAGAAAGAACCAGTTGAACCATTGTGTTTTTGAAAAGTTTTGGGAAATGGTACTTAGATATCAGATCACCGTGGCCTGCAAAAGCTAAATTTAAGTTTCCTCTGTTAGGCCCAGTTCTTCCTGCTGAGTCACATTTTATTAAAAACAATTTGACATGATACAGATTGAATGCTCATTATTCGCCCTGCTGCTTCAAATGTAATTAATGTCACTTTACCATGGTCGGATTTCTTACCTTTATTACAGCTTCAAAACTGAGGATGAAGCCGTTTCGATAGCGAATAGTACGAGGCGTGGTTTGGCTGGCTATTTCTACACATCGGACATCAGTCAAGCATGGAGAGTGGCTCGAGACCTGGAAGTTGGTATGGTCGGCATTAACGAGAGTCTAATTTCTTCAGCGGAGGCTGCCTTCGGGGGAGTCAAGGAGTCCGGGCTTGGAAGAGAGGGTTCTTCGCACGGGATCGAAGAATATGTCTACATCAAATATGTCTGCTTCGGCAATTTGAAGCTGTGAAAACAGCTAAAAATATCAATTTTCTAACGAATCGACTGTTGAAGCTGAAAATTCTGCAGGATTCTACAGATAGGGAGAGAGAGAGATTCTACACCGTAAATGTATTAATCGCTGCTAAAACCCAGCGAGATCAAACTGCATTCACGCTTTAGAACATTAAATGGACTTCATTTTGCAATCAGGAGGTACAATATCTAGCTCATAGGATAAAAACACTTATCTGCACAGGGGAACTAAGAGAACGTATGCTATTTCTAAAATGAGCCAGAGATTGTAGTTCCTAATTGCAAAATGTGGTCCAAATGACCCTAATGATGCTACATCGTCGGATACAGTATTGCTTTACTTTGTCATTTAATATTCATTCCTTTCCTGGTAAAAGTTGACTTTTCGGACATGCTGTGTTTAGACACAGACTGATACAAAAGAAAACAGGTATATTTCAATTACATCCCCTCCACAGTTGAGGTTGCGAAATCTTCGATGTTGCTGGAGTGGTGGCTCACAAAATTTGTGCCGTCCATTTTTTTAAATTTTTTTCATGCATTGTATCGATGAGATTAAGTTAGCCGTATTAAACTGTTTGATTTTGAATTAGATTCGTAGTGTTTCAATTTTTCTTTTTGTCATAGACGCTCTGAAAAAATCCGAGGTCTTGAAAATTTCTGATACCATTGCCTAAAATACGCACTATGTATGCGTTACTCGTGCATTCTCGAAACAACAAGGTTTATTATTTTGCGCCAAGAATGAATGATTCTGCATTTGATCCAGACATTGCAACACTGCGGCTACGCTTTATAGAATAAAGTTTAGTACGGGCAGGAACAAAATAATATAATTATGTATTACAATTACCAGATTTCTAGGTATTTATGTGAATAAGTACGTACAAGAGATCCAGAAACGACACGTAAACCCACTACAAGGTGTTGGAAGAGTGCGCTATAAGAATAAATCTGTAAGCTGTAATATAATGATTATAATACCTATATGAAAATGGTATTTACGCAAAACAGGGAAACATTAAAGCCATGCCAGTGCGCCTTCAATACCAATAAAGACATTACAATCGTGTCATCGCCGTGAAATGGCATGGTCACTCGGAACATACTCAAAAAAACAGCTTTCTACCAAATCAAAAGAGTTTACTTAAACGCCACATCAATTTGCCTTCAATTTTTAGTGTAGGCAAAACGAGCTCTGACGTGGTCGAACAGTGGTATCATCATTAATGACATACTCACACGGGGAAAATATGAATCGGAGCTTTTTACCAAACGGGAAGAGGTCACTTCAATGCCATGCAGTTTGCCTTCAATTTTTTGTGTAGGCAACACGAGCTCCCATCTGGTTGAATACAGCCGTGTTAATTAAAAAACGCGTAAAAGCGTTCGAATGTTGCCAAATTTCTTCCCTGTAAATATTTATTTTTGAAAACTATTATGAATGTTTTTCCCTCAAATTTTAAAGCTTTTTAGATCAAATTTTGAACTAAATCTTTTGAATAATCAGAAGTGATATATTCACAAATTTTCCGGAAAATCACGAAGTTAGCGAAAATTGATTATTTGCCGAAGGAAATTTGGTAACGCTTGATGACTCACACTGCGCTCTTACTTAGCACGATAGAATAGTCGTACATACATACAGTCAAGTCGTTTTTACAGCGCGCCCGGGCGCTCTGCGACACCTGATCGCCATTCTTGCCTATCGACCCAGAGGTCATCTGCTAAATGCTTATAATTTCCTCTGGAATGCCACCTATCCACGATTTTGCTGGACGTCCCTTACGTGTCCTCTCAGGAGGCATCAATCTGGTCCCCTCTTATCCGTAGTATCATCCTGAAAAATCACACCTAGGAAAAATCGGAATCCCTTCAGGGATACGAGGGATCGCTCCAGTTCCAGAGGGTCGACGGGCGCCGGCGTCGTGTCTCTGCATGGATGCAACCAGAAGTCCTCCCGGCCGGAGCCACCTAAGAAGCCGCACAAGTACAAAACAACGCAACTACCACGCATTCCAAACGGAAACCCCGTCATTCTTCCACACGTGGCTCCCTCCAACCTCCACGCCGCGTTTCGGTCGGTCGCACAGTGGATCGAGTCAGTTAGAGAGGTCGGACATGAAATTTTTGACTAAAACTGTAAATTTTGATGTTTATTTCGTCGTATTTTAAGTTTCAAGGGGTGCTATCAAAAGAATATTTTACGAGGAAACTAATAAAACCGCTTCTGGCGAACCTCAAAGTTTGCATAAACGGTGTTATAAGCCTTTAAAGTTTCCAAATTTTGTCCGAGCTCTCCTATTGACTCGATCCACCTAGAGTCCCTTTATACTGAGAGTCAAGACAACACCCCTCATGGAGTCACAAACGGGAATAAAGATTACACAAATTGACCGTTTTTCGTAATCTTTGATCGACTCATTCTTAAATTCCTTTCTCGGTTCCTTCTCTCATTCCGTTTGTTCCTTGTCGAACCCGAAATTCCTCGGTCCATTCCAGATTGTAATCTTTGCAATTGGTGAAAATGTAATCTTTATTCCCGTTTGTGACACTGTGAAGGCCTAAAATCCGGTTAACCAATCAGAAATGGATTTGCATTGTCTTGACTCTCAGTATAAAGGGACTCTAGATCCACCGTGTGCCGGTTATACTCCACCGCGCTAAAACTGCGAACTCACGCGCGGTGCCATAAGGACTTACGCGCTTTCGACTTAGCGCCGTGCTCAGGTGAGCGCGAGGGGGACAACCGGTCCCGTTCGCCCCGCTCCTTCGCGCCGCCACCCGCGCCCCCGATTTGGGAGCTGTTGCCCCCTCGAGGCTGCCACATCGTGCACATATTTTACACTAAACTAATCGAGGTGGAACCGGTTTTGGCACTATCTGGTGAGGCTGTGCCCCCTCCTCTTTTACCTGTGCCCCTCGCCCTGGTCTCCCAACGTCCGCGGTCCGCGCTCCGCGCCTAGCACCTAACGGAGTTGGCCACTCGCCGCTTCCCGCTTCGTCCCTGGCCTCTCCTTCCTCTTCCTCCTTCCTCCTCCTTCCTCTTTCCACTCACCTGCCTCACCGTTCGTTGACTGGAGACTCGGCGTGCATCGCTCAGTGTCTGCCTCCGCTACGCGCCGTCCGTCTCAAACCGCGCTTTCTCTTGTCCGTGTTTACCTGTCTCCTCCCCGGAAACGCTGTGCCAGGATTCGCCAGGATCGCTACGAATTCTGGAGTCGTCCCGTCCGACCCGCGGCCAGCTACTCGAGTGCGTGACGACGTGTGTTTTTGTGAGGAACTGTTTTAGTTTTTGAAAAAAAAACCGCCTGGGAACGGTGAAAGGCCACGCACGATCGGCAGCGGTGTGGAATTTACTCTTGCGGGTCAACGGCGATCTTCATCGATTGATGACTGGTGAGTGGTGTGATGAACGATTTTTTCGACGAGTAAACACCTGGCAAACTTACGAACTTTTATAATGAGAAGCGACAGACGTAGGGACGCGGACTACATAACAGAAAAACGTCTTGAAACTTACAGTTATAAACTGTTTCTGCTGAGTAAAACGGCCGAGTTAGCTGCTTAATAAATCTGATAAGTGTTGCGTGAGCCATCTAGTAAAACTTTCGATTTACTGAGCAAGTTTGTCATACTTACAGCCATAAGCTTACTTGGATTGCATTTTGCAAAAGGGAATTTAACCAAGAGCATTCCAATGTTGCTCTAGGATTGTGCAATTTACAACGCTTTTTGCAAAAAATTACTGAAATCATGCGGAAAATTAGATTTACTAAGGTAATTTTCGTCTCGAATTGATGGTTTATCGGGAGTAAAGATGAAACTTATTCAGATAATTAGTTTATATTCGCAAGGTAAAAAATGTTGCACAATCTTAGCGACATTGGAATGCTCTTGGTGATCGCTGTGTTTGACAAACTACTGCACTCAACGTTTAACTCAGCGGCTATCACGTTTGTTGCTATTGTTCTATGCGATAAACAATGTGTTTGACGAACGACATCAAGCAACAAACTTTCACTCGACAGCAAACTTGATATGACTAACAGCGGCAAACCGTTAAAGCCAAGAAATAAAGTAAATCAGCTAAGTAAGCTGCTGAATGAAGGTGCTGCTGATTTTAAGAAGATTTTTTCCGTAGGTACAGTCACAAACCTATACTTGGCAAACTATTCGACTCACCACCAACTAAACTTAACAGGTATCAAGGATGTTTCTGGAGTTGTGCTTGCTGGATAATGTGTTTGATTAAGAACACTTATAATACCAAGCGACCGACTAACATGAACTACACGCTAAAAAACATAACATAAAACTCACAACCGCGTTTACTGTTAAGTATCACAAGGTAAAGCTACTAAGTAAAGCTTTGCTAAGTAAGCCGCCAAGTACACCTTGCTAAAAACGACCACTTTAGTGAGTAAGACACGGTTCCATGTCGACGCCAAAATTGTATTCTCATTGTATCAACATGGTACCAACATGGGATCGATCAAATCGCCCAACAGCTGTCAACATGGCACCAACCATGGAACAATGTGGAACTGAGTTGGTGCGTTGATACCATGTTGACGTTGACGTGGTAACATCTATCACTAACAAACATGGTACCAACATGGACGTTTATAGCACGATTACTAACAGTCACAAACTTACCTAGCACAATTTTAACTCAATCAACGTATAATAATACAGTTATGTCGTGTTATCGAGGGAGTAGCGACGCCCGAATTTTCGAAATCGAGTCTCCCTCAAAATCGATTAATCTATTTTAAATGAGCCAGTCATTATAAACCATATTAGTCAGTTTATTGGTTTAGCTAAAACTTCGTCTTTCTCGAAGGAAACGAGAGTTATGAGAGGGCAGTGGCTATTCTTGAAAGTTGGCAACGCTATTTTTTCTTCATTTATATATATATAGACAAAACAATCGACTCTCGGTGAGGCCGCTTGCCTCACATTGATCGATATTTTTTAATGCATTTGAATGGATGAAAAACAGGGTTGCCAACTTTCAAATTTGCCACTGTGAGACAGTAGTAAGTGCACGTATAATTTCACATAAATTAGCGATAAGTCATCAGTAGGTCGGCGTCCGGTTAAGAGTCTGAAAATTTGTTGAAATGCACAAATTTTAGCACAATTCTACGAGGTCACCCAAAAATGTTCCAAACATTGCCAAATACTCAATTATATGTTTCGATGTAGCCATATTCGCAACTGTAATCAGTCATCCTCATCGCAATCGCGTTTTTCGACGATCAAAGTGGCACGCGAGGCGCAAATTTATGCCTCTAGATAGCTAAAAATTTGTCTACGGACACAATTTTTTGCGTTATTTGACGTGGCCGGCTGGTTTTCTCTCAAAATGTATTTACAAACCCTTTTCTCTTTGCAACATTGCCCCATTAGCAGCCATACGAGTCGCACCGTAGATAATCGCGCTTTCTGCCGATCGAAAATTACAGGCTAAGATCAAATGGACCGAGTTCATCAGAAAGGAACCAACCCACATTAAGAGTTTAAGACGGGTTGTTGGAGTTTTTTAGCCAACGTGTGTTAAAAGTTCAGCTTAAAGCTGTTGCCTTCCTGAATGGACGTAACTAGTGTTGCTCCAAAAAGCGTATCTCTTTGAGGGAAAATTGTCCTTATGTGTGAGTTTTTTCCTTCTGTAATGAGATATCAGCTTTAAGCTGAATTTTTAACGCACTTTGGCTAAACAACTCCAACATCCCGTCTTACAACCCGTGCGTTCACCTCAATCAGTTTGTGTAAACCCACAATAAGTTTAAACTGATTGTGAGCAAAAAAGTTTGAAGTTTTATTTCTGCATGAGGCTCAATATAGAAAAACAACTTTAACTCTCTTTCCGCAAACTAATTTCTTTTTTTCAACTTTCAGATTTTGGCGCGAGAAAGTAAACAACTAGTGGAACTCTAAAGCGTTCTTAGCTCAATTTTTCCGAAAATGTGGGTCGGTTCCTTTTTGATAAACTCGGTTCAAATGTGTGCCACTAAAAATCTTAAAGTCTCTCGTGTGGTTCAGCATGAGGAATTTTTTAAATCATAAGGTCTCCATGCGTCCAGCAACTCGAGTTTGTCGGTGCGCCCATTTTTACGCATGCGTTAAAGTCTTTGAAATGATGTCTGCATTTTACAGTCTTGGCGATTCCCCGTGTGCTTCAGCATGATCAAAGTTTGAAACAATCAACATTTTCTTCGTGCGTCAAATGACACTCGTTTGTCGAAGCGCCTACTTTTCTACGCCGTGTTAAAGTCGCTACAGTTACTCCATTCATTTTGATCCAATTTGAAAAGAAACTTGGGTTTAAATTAAAGTTGTGAGGATACTGAATTAAACGGTGCGATCAGTTTTTTTTTCTGGAGCATTATTGAGTCGAGAGAAAAAAGGATACCTTAACAAATGACATTCGTATTTTATTTTTTATTTTTATTTTTTTCAAAAAATGGCGCTTATTTTAGATAATTGGAATCGATACTTCACGCAGTTTCATAAACAGTTCACCATGTACGCAAGCATGGAAGGAACAGCGCATACTGCTTATCTTGCCTACATGAAATGGATAACTCTAAAGCCCTTTAAATCGTTAAAGGTAAAACGCATTGATTTTCAATCACCCGAGCAGTTTTACAGTCTTTTTGATGAGGTATTAACACTTTTCGAGGAACAGAGGATTCGAAGAACCTATCGGAGGATAAATTTCCAGAAAATTTGGATTGAATAATTGGTGAGTCACAGAAAAAGTTACTTTAAAACAGTTCAACGGAGGATTCGTTCAATAAATTTTTCCACTTGAATAGGATACTGGGTCCACTTACTCTCAAAACTTCATTTTTACCGAAGTGTACTTATTATTCTCTCCGGCAGAGAGGGCAGAGTCGACATCATTAAACGGAGATGTTGCTGTCTTCATAAGTGGTCAATACCCGAGAATAACTTTTACTTCAATCGTTCACTTTACAATAAAAAAATATTTAAAAAAAAAAAAAAAAAAAAAAAAAAAAAAAAAAAAAAAAAAAAAAAAAAAAAAAAAAAAAAAAAAAAAAANAAGAACAAGAGAATAGAGATAAGAGGCTAGTTTTTAAGGGCAGGACTTCCTTGAAGAGGAAGGTTTAAGATCCGTTTGCGGCCCCGGAAACTGCCGTCTGGCATACATCGGAGGGGAAAAACTTTGGTGTTCATCATTGAGCCGAACTTTGTCTCTCCGTAGACCGTATAGGTGTAGCTTGGTAGCCAGAGCGGGGTCATCAAAATACTTCACCTCTGCCAGTGGCGCAGAGTGAATTGCGATATATAGATTGTTATGCCATTTAAACCTATGGAAAAGGATCGATAAACAGGGTGTTCGCAGCGGACACCTTAATAATCGATTCTTTACCATAGGTTTAAATGGCATTACAATCGATATATCGCAATTCACGCCACGCCACTGACCTCTGCGCATACTTTGTTTTGGATTGTGTTCCTCGACGTAGAGTGGCTTTCGTGCTGCACTTGGAGGTTTGTGTGTGTTCCCTGCGGTTGTGAGAGGAATTCGGAGCGGTGCTTTCTTTTCCTGGCGCAAGCGGAGGTTCTCACGGTCTGACAGCTTGCAGATTGCAGTGCGGGTGCCTACGTCGCCGGTGCCGCTTACTCAACGGAGGCAACATCCGTGGACAGGTGAATACCCTCTTAATCGGGATTGCGCCGTTACCATGACGCACTGATCTACATATCGATGACTCCCTGCCAAAATCGCGTATCTCTTCGAAGATGTCTCAAGATTTCCGCTTTTATTTTATTCATACGGTGCGTTCTCAATCGTTCGGAACCCTCCCGTGTTACCGGTGGTGATTCCTACAAGTTGGTAACACTGTTTTTTCATTTTAAATCCATTAAAAATGTCGATTTAGATCATTTGCGGATCCAGCAATTTGGCAACACCAGATTTCCTCCATTTAAACCTATGGAAATGTATCGATTCTTGGAAGAGCCAGGTGATCCGACAAGAATCGATTATTTAGCATAGGTTTAAATGGAGGAATCCGCACTGAAAAAAAATTCTCTGAGTTTTTACCAAGGTCCGTTCGTACCCTTAATTACCATCTCACTTTTTTTTACCAATCATTGGTAATTTTACCAAGACAGACTGGAAAACTTACCTAAAAACCGGCATTTTTACTGTTTTTTTCAGGTAAGAATACCACTTTTATTGGTAATCAATTCCCGGTAACTTTGCCATTTTATCTCGGTAATTCTACCACAGTCGATAAAAAATATTGGCGTTTTTACCAAGGTCCAGTAAAATTACCAAGAAAGTTCAAAAATTTTACCGAGATTTCTCGGTAAAATTACCAATACCATAAATGGCAATTTTACCAAGAAAACACTGGGAT